TGTGCCACTGCGCTCGAATATTGGTTAGTGAGCTTGCTGGCAAGATCCTCGAAATCACCAATCGATCCCGAAGGCAACTGATGAAACCAGTCAAGCGCTCCTCCGCGTAAGGTCGATAAAAATGCCCTGCAACAAACAGAATCAGAGTATCCATGCAACACCGCCATATTCACAAAGGTCCTCACATGCCTCGATGGGTCAGATGACCCGTCATACACCAAGTTGGTCTCCTTGAAATTGTTTGGCAGGGGAGCAGCGAGAATCTCCCTTGAGAAGGGATGTCCTCGAGCTCTCCTCTCTGGCCTTCCCTCCACCTTATCCTGCAACTGACGCAGTTGCTCCGCCATCCTCTCCATGGCCCGATCTCTTCCAGCACCTCCTTCCCCATAACTAGACACATCCTCGTCTTGGTTCCCCGTTGCCGCTGTCGGCGCAGTGGTGGCGTGCGATGTGTGACTTGTGACCTGCTCCACCGCCTGCGCCGCCGCGGCTGCCGCGATCCTCTGCATCTCCTCCCGGGTCATCGTAACCACTTGCTGGCCCGGGGTTTGTACGGCTACTTGCGGTGGCACTCCTCCCTGTGCCTGCACTCCTCCTTGCCGTTGTGCTGGATCCGGTGGTGGTGGTGGCGGCATCGCCGCTGTCGCCGCCAAACGAGCCTCCTGGGCCTGACTAGAGCTGGCACCTCCGCCGGGAACCCCCGTCGTCGCCCCTACACCTTGGAAGTTAGGTGCAGGAGTGACTGGGGTCTGCGATGGGCCAGAAAAACCCGGAGGAGGGCCGTGCCCCAACGGCCTGGTCGTCGTCCAAGCCTCGTCGAACGTCGACTGCAAATTTCTAGGGATTCCGTCCGCCATAGCTGAGCTTCAAACACAACTTTTTGAACAAAAATCCCCACAGACGGCGCCAATAATGCAAGTGTAAGCGTCCGGGTCCCGTTTGGAGTAGATCGGTTCTTGTCCTTGCCGGTAGAACGCCGAGAACCTGCAAATAACTCTCACACCGGGGGTTGGGTCCGGTGAAGAGCCTCCGATGCTTAAGTCAGTATGTGTATGAGTATACTGGAATTTAGAGAATGAATAGAATGTCTCAAGGAAGAAAGGCTCATCCCCTTTTTATAGGGGTGAGATACCTGCCCTAATAGCTGCCCGGATAAGGATACGTGTGCTGCCCAAGCTGCCCGTCCGTACTCTGACACGCCGCGCACATGTCAGAGGTGCCGCGGGACGTTTGGGCGTTGTCAGAG